GGTGGGAAACAAAATAGAAGGGTCTTATCACAAAATAAGCTCTACCCTGAAAAATAAGCCCCAGTTAAGATTGTCAGCCAGATGGGCACATTTAACCCCAGATTTCCCTGAAAATAAGATCCAAAAACAAGCCCTAGCGTTATTTTTCCAGGATGCTCAAAAATAAGCCCTAGTTAAGATTGTCATCCAGACAGACGCATTTAGCACCATATTTTCCCCAGAATAAGACCTAACTGAAAAATAAGCCCCGATGCATGTTTTGGAGCAAAAATTAGTGTAAGACCCGGTCTTATTTTGGGGGAAATGCGGTAAATGAACGGTTGTTAAGTCAAGTAATAACTGTAACAGGCTGGATAACGTCATGCCTTGGTTTGCCCACAGGATGGCGCTTCGTGGCCAAAGCAGCTCTCCGCTGTTGGGAAACCTAATTTCATCATTTCTTTTTCCTTGACTCTCTAGGACTACAACTCTACCTATTCTGGTGAGGTAGGAACGATGGCCAAGCTGTTCTTGGACATCTGGAAGACCCTCACGACCCCTCAGATGTTCTGTATGGGGGCGGAGACGTCTATAGATAGAACAATCAGAAAAGTCAAACTAGAAGATTGAGTTGAATTGCAACCATTCGTTTAGTGATGGCTCCAAGTTACGGCGGTCCTGACAAAAAAGGGACTGTGAGCCGCTTTTCACCCTTATGATTGTGGCAGCATCCCTGCTGGGTGTGTTTGTGTGTGTGTGTGTCATGTGATCCAACTTGCTCCTGGTCGTTAAGTGAATCACCACCATCACTAAATGAAGCTGGCCTTCCCTGTTGACTTTGAAGGTCACTTAAGGGAATCACACGATCCCGGGATGAGGCAACCACCATAAATATGAGTCAGTGGTCAAATTAGGCTCACAGAACCAAGGGGAAAGCTGCGACAGTCTTAAGAGTGAAAAAATGGTATCCTGAATCTCTTTTTTTTTTTGTGCCGTTGCAAATTCGGTCGCTAAATGAATTCTGGTAAGTCGAGGACTACCCATTACTCTTCAATATCTTCATTAACAACTTAGATGAGGGAATAGAAGGGGAACTTGCCAAATTTGCAGATGATACTAACCTGGCAGGAATAGCCAACACCCAAGAAGATAGGCTCAAGATCCAGAGGGATCTTGACAGACTTGAACCCTGGACCGTATCTAACAAAAGGAAATTCAGTGTAGAGAAAAGTAAAGTCCTACACTTAGGCAAGAAAAACCCAAAGGACACATATAATCTGGGTGAAACCAGGCTCAATAGCAGTAACTGGGAGAGGGATCTTGGAGTCTTAGTGGACATCCAGCTAAATAGGAGCCAGCCATGTGCAGCAGCAGCCAAAAAAGCTAATGCAATCCTAAGTTGTATTAACAGAAGGATACAATCTAGATCAAGTACTAATACCCCTCTGTAAAGCCTTAGTAAGGCCACACCTAGAGTACTGCATCCAGTTTTGGTCACCACACTATAAAAAAGATGTTGAGACTCTAGAAAAAGTGCAGAGAAGAGCAACCAGGACGATTAGGAGACTGGAGACTAAAACATACGATGAACGGTTGCAGGAACCGGGCCATGCTAATCTAGGGAAAAGAAGGACCAGGGGAGACAGGAGAGCGGCCTTCCAATATTTGAGGGTCTGCCCCAGAGAGGAGGAGGGGGTCAAGCTATTTTCCAAGATACATGAAGGCCAGACAAGGAACAATGGATGGAAACTGACCAAGGAACTAGAAATAAGGGCGGATTTTCTGAACAATCAACCCATGGAACAGAAGTTGCTCTCGGAAGTTGTGGGAGCTTCATCCCTGGAAGCTTTCAAGAAGATATTGGATTGCACAGGAGGAGGGAGGGGGCATGGCATGGCATGGCATGGGGGGGGAGGCAAAAGGGGAGGGGGCCTGGGGTTTTACAGGATGCAGCTGCCCGAGGGACCCGTGCTAGTTAGGAGTCCCAACCAGGGTGTGCCCAGCCTGGCTGCATTCAAATGCCAGGAAGTTTCTGAGCTGGTGTGCAACAGCTCGCTTTGGGTGTGCGCTGCAATGGTGAGTCATCTTCCCGTGGTCTCGGTAGCATAATCGGAGGGCACGCACGAACCTTGGTGCCACGTCACACAGAGCAGTGGTTCCTCAAAATTGCACCCTTGAAGATAGGTGGGCTACCACGCCCAGAATTCCCTAGTTAATGTGATTTAAGTTGAGTGGATTAGCCTCTTCCAGCTCAGATCATATTTGGGACAAAGGCAATCTCCCCAATCTTTTGGGCTAACATCCTAACCCTCCGTGTCCCCCCAAAGACACAACCCCCCCAGTCCCCGAAATCCTAATCTCCTTAATTTGCAGAAAAAAATGAAGACGTGTATCTTAAAATAATGTTAGCTTTATTAAGGTGAGCCCAGGCGATACAATACAGCCTTCGTTTCATTTCGGCCCCCGTGACTTGAATAATTTGAGGGCGCGGTTTCTTTCTTTGGGGTCCACTCCAACTCCTTCCACTTCTCTCCCCCCCCCGGTCAGTAAGGACCCAGCCTTTGGGGGAGGGGCGTTTCGCTTTAAAGACCTCCGCGTCTCCCTTTAAGCAACCCGGTTCAAGGTTGCCTGCAACCATTTTGCCAAAAGAAAAATAAACCAGAGCTCCCCCAACCAACAATTTCCATTCTAAACCCAGTCCTCGACTTACGACCAAAACAGAGGCCAGAATCTCAGGAGGTCGTTAAGTGAGTCGCGCCCGGCGCTATTGCCTTCTTTTTGCCTGTCCAGCGAATCGCTGTTCTTCAGTGAATCCCACGGTCATTAAGTGAATTGGGGTTTTCCCCGTTGACTTGAATTGTCTGAAGGTTGCAAAAAAGGGGGTTACGAGTCCCCGGGACATTGCCACTGTCGTAAAGGTGAGTCGGTGGCCAAGCGTCCAAATTTTGATTGCCGTAGGGTTGCCGCGACGGTTGTAAGTGTGAAAAATGGTTGTTATCTCTTTTTTTTCAGTGCCGTTGTAAGTTTGAACGGTCGCTAAATGAACTGTTGTAAGTCGAGGACTTCCTGTGTTTTCCTGCTAGGAATGTCCCCCCTCTTTTTTTCTCAATTGTTCAGCCACAGGTAAAAAGCAGCTGTCTTATTAAGACCCCTTCCACAGGATGACTTTTCAAGGCGCTAGACCTTATTGTTCCTTCCTTTCTCCCCGCAGCAATATCAAACCTATCCTATTAAACACCCAGAGAGGCTCCTCGGCCAAAATTTAAACAGCCACAGGGCATTGGCACAAAGGAACAACCAACTCCCCCCACCCCCCACCCCAAAATATATATATTAAAAAATAAAATTAAAAAAATTAAAATAAAGACAGAATGCTAGAAAGAAAACATTATTCAGCCAGCAAAATAATGCAGAAAAAGGACAGGATAGTAAATCAGATATTTAAAAAAAAAAAAATCAAAGAAAGGAAGCCAAACCATGATTTATCAGCCTTCCTCTATCCAAAAACCTCCAAATATCATCTTTTCCCTTGTGGAGTGGAATCTGGGCAACCGAATGGGGCTAGCAGAGTGTTTACTGGCCGGATGCCCTTCCTGTCACCAGTGCGGAGTTTTTTTGTTCGGCAGATATATTCTCATTGTGTCCAGAGGGAGAAATATCTACCTCCACCTAAGGATCGAACTCACAGCACCCCTAATTGTGGGGCGAGGGCTCCACCTCTGGGCCATTGCACCGCTTCAAAAACCTCTGGGTATGTTGGACTACAAACTCCGTTGTCCCCAGGCTGGGCTTCCCACGGAGTTGAAGGAAGGTTGTCTGAAGCGACGGGGCCAAAACCGGCTTCAAATAGATCGCCGGTTTCTGGTTTGGAGGCAGGTATCAGATCCTGGGGTATCTCCACGAACTATTTTGGGAGGTGGGCTTGTGTCCAGTGTGTGTGTGTGTGTGTGTGTGTGTGTGTGGTTTATCGGGTAGGGGGCACTGCTATTGAATGTGAATTGGGCAAACCCAATCCCACCCTTGCCCCCCTGTTTCCAAATAAACCAGCATTCTTGGTTTAAATCCGCCTTTCCATTCCTTTTTCCCTCCATGGAGCCTTTCCTCTCTTTCTAGAGATGTTTCAATGTTGCCCCCCACCCCAAATTTCCTGCAAAATAAAAAGGGGGGGGCTCGGAAAGAGCAAAACCCACTGCCCCAATATCGCCCCGCCCTCCTCAATTTCCCGACATTGAACAAATCAAAAAATTGAAAATACAACCCGTGACGGGATTCAACCGGTGTAACTACAGGTCCGCCTGAATTGTACTGTTACCGGGTGAATGCCCACTGATGAATACAATAGAAACAGGTGGGAATTCTACCGGTTCAGACCGGTTCTATAGACCCGGTTGTTATGATTCTGCGCCGTTTGGAGAACTGTCTAATGGTGGCCCTGGCTGGCCCCATTTAAAGCTCCCCTCATTCTCCAAAGATTGGGGGGGGAGGGGATAATTCTGGGACAAGCCTCGATTCCCATCGTCCCCCACCAACCAGCAATGGGAAAGATGGGAATTGTAGTTGCAGCGGGAAAGACTGGCACAAGGTGCTGAGCGACTACCAGCTTTTGTAGGTAGTCCTCGGACTTACAACTCCAATTGGGGGCCAGGATTTCCACCGCTGTGTGAGGAGGTCGTTAAATGAGTCATGTCTGATTTTTTTTTTTTTTGCAACCTGCTTTGCCACGATGATTAAGCCAAATCCCTCTGGCCATTAAGTGAATCGCGCCCAGTTTTGTAACCTCCTTCTTCCTCACGGCGGTTGGTTAAGCAAATAATTGCGGCTGTTAAGCAAATCAGCCGGTCATTAAGCGAATCCAGATTTCTCAATTGCCTTGACTGGTCAGAAGGTCGCCAAAAAGGAGAATGGCAGGGACCCCGGGACGCTGAAAATGTCATAAATAGGAGTCGGTGGCCAAGCGTCTGAATTTTGATCACGTTTAGTGCTGCTGTAGCTTAGGACGGTCATTAAAAGGAACCATTGTAAGTCGAGGACTGCCTGCACCGCAAAAGGTGGCACGTGCAAAAAAGGGTGGAATTTTTTCTCCATTCTCGAAACGCGAAGGGTCAGATCCCTTCCTGGCCCAGAAACCAGCAATCGTGGTTTGGGACGATAAGGATTCCCGGCCTTCAGCAGATGGTGGCGTATGGGCCATCCAGCACCTGGTAGCGGATCTTGGTGTTGGTGACGGCACCGTGTTTCTGCCGCAGGTGCAGGCGCAGCTGGCTCTTGTGGCGGAAGCGCACACGGCACTGCTCGCACTGCGGAGAAGAAAGATTGGGGGGGTTGTTAAAGGGGGCCAAGCAATGGCGGAGCTGGTCAGGTGGGGTCTGGCTGGTTTTCTGGGAGACGTTTCATGACCCGACTGGGTAATATCATCAGTGCAAAGAAGGGTGAGGGGTTTGCGGAGAGGAGGAGGAGGAGGATTGGGGTTGGGGTCCTTGGTGGCCTCTGAGATTGGTGGTTTTCTTGGAGACGTTTCGTGACCCAACTAGGGAACGACATGGAAGGAAGTGAGGTATGTGGAGAGGAGGAGGAGGGAGAGGGGGAGGAGGGGGAAAGGAGGAGGAGGAGGAGGAGGAGGAGGAGAAGGAGGAGGAGGAAGACTATGGGGTCTTTGGTGCTCTCTGAGGTTGGTCATTTCCCTGCAGACATTTCATGACTCAAATAGGGAACATCATCAGTGCTAGAAGGGAGCGGGTTTGTGGAGATGAGGAGGAGGAGGATGGGAAGCGGGATGAGGAGGGGCAAGGAGAAGAAAGAGGAGGAGGATTGTGGGGGTCCATGGTGCTCTCTGAGCCGGGTGGTTTCCTTGCAGACGTCTCATGACCCAATTAAGGAACACCATCAGTGCCAGAGGGTGGCGGCGTTTGCGAAAGAGGAGAGGGAAGAGGAGGAGGAGGAGGAAGACTGAGGAATTCTGGGAGTTGAAGTCCACCCACCAAATTGGCAAGGCTGAGAAACACCCTTCTAATGTCATCACTCGACATAACTTGCTTCCTCGTCTCATAGAGCCCTGATGATGGTACTTAGCTTGGCAGCGAGACGTCTCCCAGAAGCAAGCCAAACTGGGTGACCCCAAGACCTGAACCCTGAGCTCCCTCCCTCCAGCCCCCTCGATTCTTCCCCCTCCCCACTGTTCCCTTTAAGCCTCGCTCCCAAGAGCCCACCCTCCATTCAACCACAGAGAACTGAGAGGCCCAACCTCGCTCAGTTTCCCCTCCCCCGGCCTGTTTTTCCCCCCTCCCCAAGTTCTCAATGGGGCAGCTGCACGCCCCCCCAGGGGAAAGACACCCCCTTTCGTCGCTCACATGATAAGGCTTCTCCCCGGTGTGGATGCGGAGGTGGCTTTTCAGGGTCTGCAGGTGTCGGAAGCGGGTGCCACAGGTGCCACAGGGGTAAGGCTTCTCGCCCGTGTGGATCAAGACGTGGGCTCGGAGATGCGCCACCTAGAAAGGGGGGGGAGGGCACAATGGGGAGGAACATCCAATGAAGCCCCCTCCCCGCACGCTTCCATAGGGTACATTAACCTGCAAAGGTGGAACGGTTGGAAGGAGATTCAGCCGGTTCGCCAAGCTGCTCAGAAAATTAGCAACCAGGTCTCCCGAACCGGTGTGAACCATCTGAATGCCACCATTGGCCCATTGATACCTGGGACAGTGAGGGCTAACCTTTTCGTCGCCATGTGCCGAAAGTGTGCCCATATGCGCATCCCTGCACACACGTCTGCCTACACACATAATGCAAGGCGCATGCACCCTCTCCTACTTCCCTCCTCACTCGTGCTTATATGACGCCCCCTGCACTCCCCTACCCTCCATACATGCCCCCCCCGGTGCCCTGAAACTGGCCCGAAAAACAGCTGCAGGGAGACCTACTAGGCCCAAAATGGGGTGTGTGGGGGGGTTCGCTGTGCCCCCCCCCTCCTGGGAGCAAACATGGGCAGTGGGGGGGCCACACTGAACTCCCCCACACACCCCATTTTGGGCCTAGTAGACAGTGGTGGGATTCAAATTTTTTTTACTACCGGTTCTGTGGGCGTGGCTTGGCTTGGTGGGCGTGGTTTGGTGGGCGTGGCAGGGGAAGGACCCTGTAAAGTCTCCATTTGCACCCCACTCCAGGGGGAGGATACTGCAAAATCCCCATTTCCTCCCCACCCCACTAACCTGCTTTCCAGCTCCGTTCTCCTGTGCAGGGCAACCAAGGAAGACCCAGCCGATCAGCTGGGACTCGATGGGGAATAGATGGGGGCGGGGCCAGTCAGAGGTGGTATTGGCCGGTTCTCCAAACTACTCAAAATCTCCGGTACCGGTTCTCCAGGACTGGTCAGAACCTGCTGGCTACCCACCTCTGCTAGTAGGCCTCTCTGCAGCCGTTTTTTGGCCCAGTTTCGGCTGCAGAGTGCTGCAGGAGGCCATGAGGCGGGGGGTGGTGGCGGCGTATACGGCCCGTTTTAGCCACCAGAGGCACCGCGGACCAATCCCTTAATATTTCCAAGCTGGCCCCGCCCACAGGATTTAAGCACCCTGCAGGCTGTATTGGTCCGGCAGGCCTTGGATTTGATGCCCCTGTCATAGAGCCTCCATAATCAGGGATAGTCTACCTCCGAAGAGCACACCGCAAGACAGGTCGACGCACCCCCAAAAAGCAGGATGCTTGATAAATGGGGTCTTGTTTTTTGACATGTGGAGCAGTCCAGATGTTGTTTCATTTTATATTATTTCGTTTCAATTCAACTCATTTTAAATAAAATAAAACTCTTTTGAGCCACTGAGCAATTGTGTCGTTTCAGTTTTAAATTAAATCATTTCAGTTTTAAATTTTTGGACTCACTGATCAATCCAGATTTTTGATTCGTTTCGTTTCGTTTTTAAATAAAAATAAAATAAACAAACTTTTTGGACCCACTGAGCAATCCTGATTTTCACATTTTATGGATTTTATTATTTCTGCAAACAAACTTTTTTTTTTGACCCACTGCTTTTATTTCGTTTTATTTATAAGTAAAATAAGCTCTGCCATTTCCACATTCTTGTGTTTTTAAAGGGATTGTTTTGCAAAGGATGTTACTCTGCAAACTTTTGGGTTTGCAAATGATCCCCTCCTGGATAAGCTGAGAAATAAATTTAAAAAAACATACTTTTGAAATAAATTTTTAAAAAACATACTTTTGAACAAACTCCTGACATGAGTAGGAACATCTCAAAAAAAGAAGAAAAAAAAACATCCAAATTTTAGGAGCCGCCCTATCCCTTGAGTAAAAAAAAAAGGGAGATTTGTAGTGGCAGCAGCCATTTTGACTTTTTTGACCTACAGGGCACACTTATCGAGTGTGATTCCCCAGGGGGGTCTCCTTACCTGTACAAAACGAGCCCCGCACATCTCACACTTGTAGGGTTTCTCTCCGGAGTGAATGCGCAAGTGCGTCTTGAGGTTAGCCGGCCGGTTAAACTGGGCCCCACAGATGGCGCAATGGTAGGGCTTCTCCCCTGTTAGAACACAGTAGGGGGAGGGGGCTTGGAGCATCAAACCCACCCATTGGCCCTTTGCTCTGTCCATCTAACGGGTTGTAGATCAGTGGACTCCAACTCCCAGAATTCTGAGAGTTGAAGTCCACCCAACTAAGGAACAAAAACTTCGGTCGTTTCCCACGCAGTCCAACCACAGCACCACCCCTCACTTGGTCTTGAGGTGCACAAGCGTGTGCCCATGTGCCCTTTGCACGCCCACCTGCGTGCAAGGATTGGTGGCTTGCCAGGTTGCCCTTGCAACGGAAGGCGGAGCTGCAGAAATGGCATTTGTAGGGTTTCTCCTCTGTCCCCTGGCCGGCGGGTGGGCTGCCTCCCTCTTCTTCATCCTCTTCTTGGAGATATTGCAGATCACAGGCCTGGCAGCTGGAGGATCTACTGTCTGGGGAGCAAGGAAAGAAATGGACACCATCTGTCTCTTCCTCTCTCTCTCTCTCTCTCCCTCTCTCTTTTGCTCCCTCTCTCTTTCTCTCTCGCACACACACACACTCTCTTTCTTTCTCTCTATCATCCATCTATCATCCATCATCTATTTCTGTCTATCATCTATCTGTCATCTCTCTCTCTTTCTCTCTCTTTCCATCTAGCCGTCTGCCTGCCTGCTGCCTGCCTGCCTATTATCTATCTATCTATCTATCTATCTATCTATCTATCATCTATCTATCTATCTATCTATCTATCTATCTATCTATCTATCTATCTATCTATCTATCTATATCTAACATCTGTCTATCATTTATCATCTATCAATATATATCTATATATCTATCTGTCTATTAATCAATCCTATCTATCATCTACATCTATCACCTCTCTCTGACTATCTTCCTATCTATTTAGCCGCCTATTTATTATGCGTCTATCTACCTATCTATCATCTGTTTGTATCCATCTACAAATCTATCTGTGTATACATCTATCATCTCTGTCTATCTTTCTATCTATGTCTGTCTGTCTATCTATCTATCTATCTATCTATCTATCTATCTATCTATCTATCTATCTATCTA